ACACTATCGCTAACCTGCGTCGGAGCGCGTGGTCTCCACGCCATGTCGCTATTTTAGTCTGTATTGTTGCGTTTCTCGAAATTGTCGACGGACAGTAATCATAGTTTTGCCGCGATGTGTGTGTCAGAGGAAGTCCGCATTATACACAAGACTGAGGCCCTGTTAGGGTATTTGTTTGGCCGCCATAATATGGGGACGAAGTTCGGAGGAGAGCCGAGATTTCAAACAAAAGTATCATTCCTGCAGCCAGATTCTCTTCTCTTGTCTCACACAATAAAACTCAGCAGATTTCTACCATATGAGTCTGGCTGACTGCCCCACGTGATCACAAAAACTACAGTGCAGGATAAAAATTGCTCAGAGTGTTCCAGTCATAGTTCATGTAAGAAATCATCTTTATCGCACATCAGGCATGACCATAAGTGCTTCGATCTCCTCCTGATTATGTCTGTAAGTGTTTGTGGGCCAACAACCCTCATTCTGTTATTGCTCCTGGCTCCCGTATGGTTTCACTGTCCCACGGCTCCAATTGGTACACCCAGGGTATGCAGTCTATTGAGTAAAAAAATCATTCTCCACGAAACCGAAAGCCTCACAGCGTTTAGTCTCCCGTATGACATTGACGATGTCTCTCCTGTCTATAGAGGGTCCATTTCTGATAGTTGCACTTCCATCCAGAACGTCTGCTCTCTCATTGCCTTTCACACTAGCATACCCTGGGACACAAATCAATGTTATTTTGCAAAATGTGGCGTGCTGAACCAGATGGAGCCACTGTTTCCGAATGTACCCTGCCTTGATTTTCTTTATCATGCTCATTAAGTCGCTGAGCAAGCATGCGTTGATGACCTTCTGAGTTTTCAGCCATTCTAGGGCCGTTGTCACAGCCATGACCTCCATTGTCATGCTGCTGGTGGTAGAAGCAAAGGCGTCACTGCCTTCACTAATGACTTTCCCTTTGATTCTCGCTGTGAAAGCCTGGGCACTTCGCTACTCACGAATCACAGAACCATCTGTATGTATAACAGCAGTTTCCGGTGATGTATGTTCCTCCACATGGAAGGAGAGATAGAGGAAGACAACGAGAGAAGATGCTTGACAGTCTTGTTGCATGGCATGGAGGTCTGTCGGCACACGAACTGATACATGCTGCAGGATATCGCAGATTATGGAGAGGCATGATCGCCCACGCCAGTCGACAAGGCACCTGATGATGACGATGTTCCTCCACCAATGCTTTCACTTCTGCGTTAACTACTGGTGGCGCCAAATCACGGCACTGTCTTGCCAGGGTGACAAAGTAATGTTTGTATTTATGTGGTACTAGCGTTTCTAGGACATCCGCTAACTTTTTATATATTTAGAACATTAATTAAGAGGTGTAGCAGCCGGCCAAGCTAGCTACAACCTCCCCTCGATAACCCTCATTCATTGAACACAACCACAGACAAAAAAAAAAAAAACACTTGTAAATACACATACAAAATTGACCAATAAAAGTTAAAAAAAAAAAAAGATAAATTATTTCAAAATCGCTTTTTGGCTGACTTTCTACCCCACCAGGACATCACACAAGCGATAAGCACCTGATGACACAAAGTGCCACCATGTGCGTGAGGATCACCGTGGAGAGGTCCCAGAAACCGCGTTCAGCCTTTAGGCCATATTTCTGACCAGGGTGTATTGCGGCCCCTGGAAAGAGCCAGAGTAGGGCTTCAATTAACGAACAATTTCATCCTAAAAAGGACGGAAAGTAATTAAAAAACAACAACATAAACGCGCTTTAAGTCCGTTTGGTTATGACTGATGATGATGATGATTTATATATATATAAGTTTGTAAATGTTTCGTTCGCAACTATATAATTTGTAGTATTTATAAATTCTTGGGTTTTTGTTTTTGTTCTTCGTTTACATATTGCTGGGGTTTTTTTTTGGTCAGCTTACCTTGGGATTTGATAAAAATCGCATTGACAGCCCTATCAGCGACCAGTCATCATCATCATCAGGTGCCTTGCCGCTGGCGTAGGCGATCATGCCTCTCCACAATCTGCGATCTCCTGTAGCATGTATCAGTTCGTGTGCCGACAGACCTCCATGCCATGCAACCAGACTGTCAAGCATCTTCTCTCGTTGTCTTCCTAAATCAGTACTCCAGTACAGTCGTTGAAAACAAAAATCCAATCTGGCAAGCCAGTGCCAAGGTAGATAACTGTAACTAACTGTGAAACTCGTCTCCAGTGTTGCCACTTAGGAGGTTTTACATCCGAATTTAGATGTTTTCCCTTGCATGTAGATGGCGTTTTTGACGTTTAGATGGTAGATGTTTTTCTAGATTCTTGGAGTAAATTTATCAAATTTAACCTAAGAAACAGGATGCAATTTAACCTCTTAAATGCTATCTTGACAATACAATTTTGCCGGATATGAGAAGGAAAAGGCTGTTAAATTGATCAGCTCCCTGATTGGGTATTAAAAGAAATTGGAACAGCTAAAGCATACCAGAGTCATTTTGGATCTGAAGCTTCAACTTCATCATCCAAACTAAGTTTATCCTGTGGATCTTGTGAGGCAGACATCAGTAAAGATTAGAACATAATTCTATAGGGTAAGTCATATCAATTGCTTTGTAATTTGTGACTCTTTCCATTTGGATGTTTTTTATAGATGTTTTTTCACGCAAATTAAGATGTTTTTAGATATTTTTGACTCCGATTTGGATGTTTTATGTCAAAGAAAAATGGCAACACTGTGAAACTCGTCTCTCAGAAAGGGAGTCTAGAGGAAGATGATACAGGTAGTAGTTTGAACTTTAGGTACTTCTGTCATGTTCATGATTGTTTGTCAATAATGCAATTAGTATTCCTGGAAAAGACAGTATAATTGTACCTCATTAAAGTATGTACGTTAAATCTAAGCCGTTTTTTTGCATCATAACGTTAATTAAGAATCGACATCACAGACTTCTGTGGACATTTAAAAAAAAAAAAATCTCTGTCCCCTGTGTGTGGGACGCATTTTTTTTTTTTTTTTGTTTTGTTGTTGAAGCCCCACCCTGGTTGTTGCCGGGGGCCCTAATATAACATAACGGTTAAACGGGGTTTCAGCGAACTTTGCACGGGTGATCCTCATCCGAATGGTGGCACTTTTATATGTGTGTATATATATATACACACACACACACACTCACATATGCACGCACCATGTTATGTTAGCACAGTCGACGTCATTGCACATAGCATGCTCAGTCCTCCAATGCAGCAGCCATTCTAAGATACCTGTGCTGATTATTCTAATGAAGAGTTGGATCCTAGCGCTGCCTCAAAAGTGGCGTAGACATTTCTTTACCAGGCTTTACTCCCATGTCACACAATAGTGTTAGCATCAGAGATTCATCGTTATCCACTAACCGAATCCATACAACATTGATGATATCTACTTTGTCTGTGCTTCTTCCCACATATGTTTGTGCATTGCTTGCCTGTTTTTCCACTCATTCCTCACCTTTCATACTGGTATGGCCAAGTGTATAGTATAGGTCCAGATTAGGGAGTTTAAGTGTGATTTTGCAGTGCTGTCTACCCATTCAGGGTGTATAACTAGTTGCTGTGGTTTTCTAAAGCTTTTTCTTCTTCTTCTTTGCGTTCACCAGCTGTACACTCTGGTGGAAAGTTCTAGTTGTTTGTCCACTTCTGAACTGCAGTCCTGCTCCAGAACCTGAGTGTTGCGTGTGCATCAGTTTTACAGATCTGATTCACTTGAATGCTGACTGTTGGTTCCTTGCCTTTTAGGCAGATGCACTCCGACTTCAAAGGAAGCTCCCCAATTCGTCAACTCTTACGACATGCTTGTTGGGTAGCAATGGCTATTATCATTTCGTGCTGATTTAGAAGCTCTTTAATGTCATCAATCCATCTTCTCTGCGTTGGTAGTTCTGGCTGCATTCTTACTAGATGACCAAACGATTTGATCTTCTGTTTCTCAATGAATTTGCTCTATGGTGTTGTTCCCACTGTCTGTCTGATAATACAGTTTCTAACTTTGTCTCGAATGGTTAAGTTGGCGGCTTTTCTCAGGCGTCTCATTTCACAGGTGTTAATTTTACATAGGTTAACCTTTGATGATGTCCTAGTCCGACACTGGTAGCACAGTGTTGGTATAAATATGATGTTTATAAGCAATTTCTTGGCGCACATACTTATGTTTGGATGTCTTATTAACAGTGTCAGTTGGTATATAAGTGCACTGGCTTATTGGCATCTTGTTTCTTCTTCCCTATTAATTCTCCAGTCCTCCAAGGATATACTTTCTAGATATTTAAGTTCTTTAAGTTGTTTCTGATACCTACCATTCAATCCGATATGTAGTGGACTGCTGATACATACCATTCAATCCGATATGTAGTGGACTGCTGATACGTACCATTCAATCCGATATGTAGTGGACTGCTGATACGTATCATTCAATCCGATATGTAGTGGACTGCTGATACGTACCATTCAATCCGATATGTAGTGGACTGCTGATACGTATCATTCAATCCGATTTGTAGTGGACTGCTGATACGTATCATTCAATCCGATTTGTAGTGGACTGCTGATACGTATCATTCAATCCGATATGTAGTGGAGTAAGAATTCTTCTGATCTGTGTTACTTCAGTTTTAGTAGCACAGTCGAGTCCACTTAAGTCGAACTCGGATAAGTCGAATTTCAGTCAAGTCGTCAGGACCAGCTTTGTCTAGGCAATTTTCTCTATTGTGTGTGCTGTCTGGATAAGTCCTGATAAGTAGAAGCATTTTCTTAGGTCCGTGCGACTTCTACTTATCCAGACTCAACTGTATTTATTTTCATTTGATATCTTCTGCATGTTGACTGCATACAATTATTTTTAAATATAATGTTTCATCACCGATATTATGTGCTAGTTACCACATATCATTTTTAACCTCATAATCACCAGGTATATATTTGAACTGTGCTGTGCCCACAGCTCCAAGCGATGTCCAAAACAAAAGCCAGAAAAAATCTCCCAGTTCATATAGTGGAGCCACATAATGATGTGAGTAATTAGGTACAGAAAGGGCTTGGAAGCAGATGATGAGAAACACATGCTTCCTCATTAGTTTAATTGTTGACTTATTTGACTAATTTTGTGTTTCTTTTTTTTTATCTGTCCTCTATCTTTGTTCAGTTAATGGCTTTATGCATCATCTCTCTTGGTCTGTCTCTGCCCCTTTTTCCACTGATCTTTCCAGTTGTCACAATGTTCTCCAGTGTCTCTCTTCTCATTATGTAGCCAAAGTACAGTGTTTGTCTCTTTCTTATTGTATATAGAGATCTACTTTCATTAGCCTCTTTCACGCAATCGTTGTTAGTTACTCTGGCCGTCCAAGGTATTCGTAACATTTGTCTCATAAACCACATCCCTGTGGCTTCCAGATTCTTCCTGATTTGTTCACTGACATTCCAGGATTCACTGCCATACAGCGGAACAGGTTCTATGTAACATTTTAGCACCCTCTTTCTGACATGAAATGAAAGCAATTTATTGCATAAGATATTTTTCATTTTCTGAAATGCTGCCTTTGCTTGACCTTTTCTGCTTTTAATCTTTATCACACATTTTCCATCTGATGATATGATTGTTTCCAGATATTTGAACTTATTGACTTGGTTAAGTCTTTTAACCAAGTTATCTTCTTTGATATAGAGGAAGTTGAAGAATTTATTTACCTCGGAAGTAAAGTTACTCCAGATGGAGATTCTGAAAAAGATGTAACATCAAGAATAAACAAAGCAAATCAAGCATTTGCCATGCTTAACAATATATGGAAGTCAAAGGGATCATCTAAGCGCAGTCGATAAGAGGCTCGCCTTCATATCCAGCTGCGACTAGCCGCAGCCCACGGTCGCTGTTCGAAACCGGGCGGTTCCCGGGGTTCACCTAGTCTTGCACTTAGCATTCATAGCGGGCTGTGTCCATCTTATCTATACACCACTGGCAGTGAGAATGAAAAGAAACTCACCTTGTTAGTCTGCATACACTAAAACAGATGAACCCTGATATGTTAACAATGACGAGACTGTAAACTGAAGCCAATTCCTCAAGCCCAGTTTGCAAGTGAATGCAAAGTTCTTGTGTTTAATCAATGACTTCATTAACTTTTCAGGGTCTGAACATTGGGAACCATGTATGTTTCACTTTACAAGCAGATTCATGTTGTAATAGATAGAATGGTAGGTAATAGATAAAAAGTTAGGTTCTATCCCAATAACTCACCCCAAACACAGGAAATCCACAGGTCACGGGACAGTCTACTATTTCAGGGGGTGCTAGATAAAACTTATAGTAATTTGGCATTTCATTTGCTGTTCAGTTTTGAAGCTTCTTGTGCTGTTTTTTTAGTTTCATGTGCTGTTTTTTTGTGTGTGTTGGTGCAGTCTGGAGGATGCAGTTTTTGTGCATGTTTTCTTGTTTTGTTGTAGTTGCTGGGAAGGAGAACCTAGGCATGTTTTGCATACAGTCGTGTAGGACCTAGGCTGCACTCTCTCGTGGGACGTAGGTGGGTTTGGGGTTAGGGCCAGTTGTAGATGTTTTGGGGTAGTTAATGTAGTCTTGGGACCTAGGCTGCACTCTCTTGTGGGACGTAGGTGAGTTGAGGTTAGGGCCAGATGTAGATGTTTTGGGGTAGTTAATGTAGTCTTGGGACCAAGGCGGCACTCTCTCGTGGGACGTAGGTGAGTTGGGGATAGAGTCAGTTGTAGATGTTTTGAGGGTAGTTAATGTAGTCTTGGGATCTAGGCTGCACTCTCTTGTGGGGTGTAGGTGAGTTGAGGTTAGGGTCAGTTGTAGATGTTTTGAGGTCGTTAAAAGCGCTCACATCGTGGAATGTAAAACACTCGATATCGCCGGCAGCTGACAACAATGTTTCCCCCCCTCCCCCGTCAATTTCAACAGTGGTGTTCTCTTCGCCAATCAGTGTGCAGGATTCAGTAATAATGTATTGGCATAATCCTCCCATATGTTATTGCTCCACTTCACAGTTGTATTCTTTGACATGCTCAGCTCAACTTGGCAAAACTGAATGCTTGTCAACTCGTGAGACCAGTAGTACAGACGCAGACTGATCTGTTTGCAAGGTAGGCGCGTCCCTTCCAGCCATTTTCCTTGCCATAATGGTATGTCCAGATGACAGGCAAATGTCGACACTGCCATCAGTCCTCCCTTTCTGTCAGCGACAACACTATAACATGATTATGGCTACAACGTCTGCTGCTATATGCAGAATGCCCTGATGTTGCAGGAAAGCAATGCTGCTCTTCTTGTCGGGCACCTGCTATTTCCAGGAAATCATGGTGATAAAGCCAGCTGGAGAGACGCCGCCAGAAGATGGAATGCACCAAAACCTTGGCAGTGCTTTGGAAGATACACAGACAGCGAAGAAACCCTCTCTTACCACCCTTGAATATTGGACTGTCCCGTGACATCATCTGAGGTGAGATATTGGGAAAAAACCCAATGTTCTATATGCATAACAAGTATTTATAGAATATTATGCCATATTTCATTTACGCTACCAGCGTCTGTTTGTTAGTTACTGAAGTAGACATATTTGGATGCATACTATTTGTTTCCTTATTTTTGTGATTCAGGTTGTTCCGTTTTTACACCGGGCAATTGCGTCACGATTGCTTCCATATTCAGGCATTCCTATGGTACACTTTGACTCACATCCTGACTTGCTGATACCCATCAACTTAGAGGCAGATGTTGTCTTTAAACCGCAGCTACTTTATGAGTACGTGAATCACACTTTTTGTTTTCAAAAGTAACCTTCGTTATCATTATTGTATTATATATGCATATATGTACAGAAATGAAGAGTTGATATTGTTTTTTGTGGCACAACAATAAGTCATTCCACCGATGTCCCTAGTTATTGATACATGCTCATGACTGACTACTATGACAAGATGGCAGTTAAACAATTGATGCAGTTACCTGCCAGTCAGAACGTTCCATTCGCTCGGGTATGGGCATCTGAATCACCATAACACTAATGTTCTCAGACACTAGACATTGTCATTCAGTATGGGTCCTTCTCAGACATTCAAGCTTTAAAGTGACTTTCCTTCAGTTCACAATAAGTTTTACCTCAGTCGCACCATCGTGGCCACAGTCATCCTAGAAATAAGTCGAAGTACATCTGCCCGTGAGGCAGGAAACGGCAAAGCCAGTAAAACGGTTGTACACGCAAAACTCAGGTCTAGCTAAAAGCCAAAAGTTTAAGCGGACGATTAACCGGGACCTTCTGCCGGAATTCACAGCCGGTGAACGAAGAAGAAGAAAAAGAAGTCGCACCATCAAACAATCTACCTTCCACACGGTCAAAACACAACTGACTCTACGTCATCGCTCCCTTCAAACCTTCGTTCCAATCTTACGCTTTTTCCGTATACTTGTTCACAGATCACAGGATATTTTGGACATGTTTTTTCCACGTGTCTCTCGTTTTCTGGCCCTCTGACCTTTTCCCCCTCAATTGGGAAACTCCGGAGTTCCCTGGAAATTCCCACAGTGATAACAGTATAATCATGGTAGTTGACTCGTCATAGTTTTCATTATGCATCATTATCCTGATAAATTAGGCAAACATGTTTTACAAACCTTCATGATCACCAGAGTCTGGGATCTCATCTGTGTTTTTGTCTTAATCATTCCTTATAGCCAAACCGTCCAGGTATTTATGTCTTGCCTTTGCTCTTTTTCCTTAGAGCTTGCTAGCCAGTATTAATTAAGTATAAATACTTACAAAATATTATCTCAAAAGGCTCCATGTTACTTATGGCCGTTGTTGAAATATAATGAACGGCATAGTAAGCGTCTAAACATATTACACATCCCTAAACCTAGGATAGACCTTTATAAAACAAGTTTGTCATATTCCGCAGCTCAATTGTGGAACTATCTACCACAGCAAATCAAAAGTACCACTAGTCCATATACATACAATCAGAAACTGTTCAAATATTATCTGAGCACCGATTATATGCCCCCATAGAAGATAAAACATGTGTGAAAAATAGCGCTCATTTTCCTTGGATTTGTTAAAACTAATACGTTTTACTGTAGTTAGAAATGTGCACATTCCAGTGCTTGTATTGATTATTTTGATGCTATTGCTAACTTTAAATATTACTTGATGTGTAAATGAAATGATGTAAGAATGGAGGGAGACCTCGAAGGGCAGAATGTTAGACGGGCCTGCGTGCCCAATTCTTAACCCTTTAAAAATAAAGTTTGTTTGTTCGTTCGTTCGTTCGTTCAAAATATCCTACTCCCCCACCTTCCCCCTATCCCTCCACCTTTTCCCCATCTCCAGCTCCCCCCCCCCCCACCCACCCTTTTCCTCATCATAACATGCCATAAACCCTCCAGCGCCTAAATCTATTTTGTCTGTTTATTGGTGCTTTTCATCTGTTAATTGAAGGACTGACTACTACTTTAAAAAACAAAACAAAAAAATATTATTGTCCATTGTTTCCTTACATTTTCATCAGAAATCATTAAGTATATAATTATTTCCAGTGCTTAAAATAGTTAGGCACATATAACACTTTGCTTTTCTCTCTGTAGTTGTCAGATTTTCTTCTAATTTTGCTCATAGTAACATGGTTTGGTGAAACATGTAGCGTGTTGTGTTCCATACAGGATCGGATAGTTTCCCAGAAATTTTGTCCATGCAAGTATGCTTCTATGCTTCATCAGAACATACATTTCTTGGTATGTTTTGAGCAGTAATTTGCTTTCGGTTGGAAATCTTTGTTGGCTACTGGAAATATAAAGGGAGCACATACAGGAATGTTTTCCTGGGATTTTCTGCGAAGACAACATCCAGCAGTCCCTGGCTGACAGGACTGGAATGGAAGAAAGCCAAAATGAAAAGGGCTGAAAGAGAAGTCTGGTGATCTCTCTGGCGAACCTCTACACCACAGGGTAGAGAAGGCTCTTCTTCTTCTTCTTTTCTTCCACCTTGTACTTCATCGAAGTGTTGGGATGAGATATAGCGTTTGTTGATGAGCTCTGTCAAGAGCAATATTAAGACCAATGTTCATTTCTGTAAGGCTGTTCTTAATGCCATCACTCCATATTTTCCGAGGTCTTCCGCTCGCTCTATACCCGTTGTAACGTTTTAGTGTGGCTCGCTGTGGCAGATAGTACCAGGGCATTCTTGTTAGGTGTCCAAACGACTTTATTTGTCGTTCTTTGATGAAAGAAGGATCGACAGAGATAACAGAATACAGGAATATCCTGTGTACATTGATGTCAGTTCTTCATTCTTTATGGAAATTTATAAGAGCAGGCCAAACAAAAATGCTCTATCCCAGGCTAAATTTCTAATTACAATTTTGTAAATTCTGGTGGACACACATTTGTGTATGATGAGGCATATCTTTCAGTCCAGTATTGACAGTTTTGTTGCGTAAGCTATCAAAGTAAGAAAAATACCTAATGCATTTATATGTGAGTGCATTTTTCTGGATTTAGCAAGGCGGATTATTGACCAGGATTCCAGTGGGCATTGAATTACATTTTATGTGATTTTTCACTGGCACAGGAACGAAGCAATTATTTGGTGATCTATTTATACTCTCAACTACCGACTACCTATTTGTGTTTCCTTGCCAGTGTGTTATCAATAGGAGGAAACTGGAGCACTTATGGAGGTGTCTGTATGCAGTGAAGTGAATCCTTTGGAAACCAATGCTACAAAGTAATTTTGTTAACTTTGATGTAATATCAAAGCAGTGTTTTCCGGTTGTGAATATGAACAAAGAAGACACAAACGATAGACTGCACAATTTATTGCCTGGCATATTTCGCTGTATCTCGTCAGGTGCATACTACAGTAACAATTTATTAAAATGAAGCAAATAATTAAATCCTAGAAAGTGAAACACAAATTCGACTACATTCTTGAACTGTCTGTTTCACCAAGGTAACCGCAAAGTAACGACCATTTCATTCTGCCTACAAAGTTCTGGTTTCAACCAGCAGATCGCTGACGCTTCTGCATATCTGAGTAATCTACCACCTGAAAAGAGACAGCGAAATATGCCAGGCAATAAATTGTGCAGTCTATTGTTTGTGTCTTCTTTGTTCAAATTTGGTGTGATAGTTAATTTAATTTATTATTCTTTCAGGTCTATTAGTATTGAAAACTGGTTGTTGCCATTAACATATGCTAAACATTTGAATCAAGTTGTTTGGGTGAAGCCACCATGGGCTCAGCAGATCCAGACAGCAGAACAGACATTTTCTATCGGGAGATGCACAGCTACTGGGAAGTTAAGGTACTGTAATGACAATCTGTATAGCTGTATAAGGTACTGTAATGACAATCTGTATAGCTGTATAAGGTACTGTAATGACAATCTGTATAGCTGTATAAGGTACTGTAATGACAATCTGTATAGCTGTATAAGGTACTGTAATGACAATCTGTATAGCTGTATAAGGTACTGTAATGACAATCTGTATAGCTGTATAAGGTACTGTAATGACAATCTGTATAGCTGTATAAGGTACTGTAATGACAATCTGTATAGCTGTATAAGGTACTGTAATGACAATCTGTATAGCTGTATAAGGTACTGTAATGACAATCGGTATGGCTGTATAAGGTACTGTAATGACAATCTGTATAGCTGTATAAGGTACTGTAATGACAATCGGTATGGCTGTATAAGGTACTGTAATGACAATGGGTATAGCTGTATAAGGTACTGTAATGACAATCTGTATAGCTGTATAAGGTACTGTAATGACAATCTGTATAGCTGTATAAGGTACTGTAATGACAATCTGTATAGCTGTATAAGGTACTGTAATGACAATGGGTATAGCTGTATAAGGTACTGTAATGACAATCTGTATGGTTGCATAAGGTACTGTATTGACAGTCGGTATGGCTGTATAAGGTACTGTAATGACAATCTGTATAGCTGTATAAGGTACTGTAATGACAATGGGTATAGCTGTATAAGGTACTGTAATAACAATCAGTATGGCTGTATAAGGTACTGTAATGACAATGGGTATGGTTGTATAAGGAACTGTAATGACAATCGGTATGGCTGTATAAGGTACTGTAATGACAATCGGTATGGCTGTATAAGGTACTGTAATGACAATGGGTATGGCTGTATAAGGTACTGTAATGACAATGGGTATGGCTGTATAAGGTACTGTAATGACAATTGGTATGGCTGTATTAGATACTGTAATGACAATGGGTATGGCTGTATAAGGTACTGTAATGACAATTGGTATGGCTGTATTAGATACTGTAATGACAATGGGTATGGCTGTATAAGGTACTGTAATGACAATGGGTATTGCTGTATAAGGTACTGTAATGACAATGGGTATAGCTGTATAAGGTACTGTAATGACAATGGGTATAGCTGTATAAGGTACTGTAATGACAATGGGTATAGCTGTATAAGGTACTGTAATGACAATCTGTATAGCTGTATAAGGTACTGTAATGACAATCTGTATAGCTGTATAAGGTACTGTAATGACAATCTGTATAGCTGTATAAGGTACTGTAATGACAATGGGTATAGCTGTATAAGGTACTGTAATGACAATCTGTATAGCTGTGCATAAGGTACTGTAATGACAATCGCTGTATAAGGTACTGTATGACAATGGGTAGCTGTACTGTAATGACAATCTGTATAGCTGTATAAGGTACTGTAATGACAATGGGTATAGCTGTATAAGGTACTGTAATGACAATGGGTATAGCTGTATAAGGTACTGTAATGACAATGGGTATAGCTGTATAAGGTACTGTAATGACAATGGGTATAGCTGTATAAGGTACTGTAATGACAATCTGTATAGCTGTATAAGGTACTGTAATGACTGTAGCTGTATGTACTGTAATGACAATCTGTATAGCTGTATAAGGTACTGTAATGACAATGGGTATGGCTGTATAGGTACTGTAATGACAATCTGTATGGCTGTATAAGGTACTGTAATGACAATGGGTATAGCTGTATAAGGTACTGTAATGACAATCTGGGTATGGCTGTATAAGGTACTGTAATGACAATGGGTATGGCTGTATAAGGTACTGTAATGACAATCTGTACAATGGGTATGGCTGTATAAGGTACTGTAATGACAATGGGTATGGCTGTATAAGGTACTGTAATGACAATGGGTATGGCTGTATAAGGTACTGTAATGACAATGGGTATGGCTGTATAAGGTACTGTAATGACAATGGGTATGGCTGTATAAGGTACTGTAATGACAATGGGTATGGCTGTATTAGATACTGTAATGACAATGGGTATGGGCTGTATAAGGTACTGTAATGACTGGTATGGCTGTATAAGGTACTGTAATGACAATGGGTATGGCTGTATAAGGTACTGTAATGACAATTGGTATGGCTGTATAAGGTACTGTAATGACAATTGGTATGGCTGTATAAGGTACTGTAATGACAATGGGTATGGCTGTGTAAGGTACTGTAATGACAATTGGTATGGCTGTATAAGGTACTGTAATGACAATGGGTATGGCTGTATAAAGGCTGTAATGACAAGGTATGGCTAAGGTACTGTAATGACAATTGGTATGGCTGTATAAGGTACTGTAATGACAATGGGTATGGCTGTATAAGGTACTGTAATGACAATTGGTATGGCTGTATAAGGTACTGTAATGACAATGGGTATGGCTGTATAAGGTACTGTAATGACAATGGGTATGGCTGTATAAGGTACTGTAATGACAATGGGTATGGCTGTATAAGGTACTGTAATGACAATGGGTATGGCTGTATAAGGTACTGTAATGACAATTGGGTATGGCTGTATAAGGTACTGTAATGACAATGGTATGGCTGTATAAGGTACTGTAATGACAATGGGTATGGCTGTATAAGGTATTGTAATGACAATTGGTATGGCTGTATAAGGTACTGTAATGACAATCAGTATGGGTGTATAAGGTACTGTAATGACAGTGGGTATGGCTGTATAAGGTACTGTAATGACAATGGGTATAGCTGTATAAGGTACTGTAATGACAATGGGTATGGCTGTATAAGGTACTGTAATGACAAAAGGTATGGTTGTATAAGGTACTTTAATGACAATGGGTATGGCTGTATAAGGTAATGTAATGACAATGGGTATGGCTGTATAAGGTACTGTAATGACAATGGGTATGGTTGTAAAAGGTACTGTAATGACAATGGGTATGGCTGTATAAGGTACTGTAATGACAATGGGTATGGCTGTATAAGGTACTGTAATGACAATGGGTATGGCTGTATAAGGTACTGTAATGACAATGGGTATGGCTGTATAAGGTACTGTAATGACAATGGGTATGGCTGTATAAGGTACTGTAATGACAATGGGTATGGCTGTATAAGGTACTGTAATGACAATGGGTATGGCTGTATAAGGTACTGTAATGACAATGGGTATGGGGTATAAGGCTGTAATAAGGTATGGCTGTATGTAATGACAATGGGTATGGCTGTATAAGGTACTGTAATGACAATGGGTATGGCTGTATAAGGTACTGTAATGACAATGGGTATGGCTGTATAAGGTACTGTAATGACAATGGGTATGGCTGTATAAGGTACTGTAATGACAATGGGTATGGCTGTATAAGGTACTGTAATGACAATTGGTATGGCTGTATAAGGTACTGTAATGACAATGGGTATGGCTGTATAAGGTACTGTAATGACAATGGGTATGGCTGTATAAGGTACTGTAATGACAATTGGTATGGCTGTATAAGGTACTGTAATGACAATGGGTATGGCTGTATAAGGTACTGTAATGACAATGGGTATGGCTGTATAAGGTACTGTAATGACAATGGGTATGGCTGTATAAGGTACTGTAATGACAATGGGTATGGCTGTATAAGGTACTGTAATGACAATGGGTATGGCTGTATAAGGTACTGTAATGACAATGGGTATGGCTGTATAAGGTACTGTAATGACAATGGGTATGGCTGTATAAGGTACTGTAATGACAATGGGTATGGCTGTATAAGGTACTGTAATGACAATGGGTATGGCTGTATAAGGTACTGTAATGACAATGGGTATGGCTGTATAAGGTACTGTAATGACAATGGGTATGGCTGTATAAGGTACTGTAATGACAATGGGTATGGCTGTATAAGGTACTGTAATGACAATGGGGTATGGCTGTATAAGGTACTGTAATGACAATGGGTATGGCTGTATAAGGTACTGTAATGACAATGGGTATGGCTGTATAAGGTACTGTATGGCTGTATAAGGTACTGTAATGACAATGGGTATGGCTGTATAAGGTACTGTAATGACAATGGGTATGGCTGTATAAGGTACTGTAATGACAATGGGTATGGCTGTATAAGGTACTGTAATGACAATGGGTATGGCTGTATAAGGTACTGTAATGACAATGGGTATGGCTGTATAAGGTACTGTAATGACAATGGGTATGGCTGTATAAGGTACTGTAATGACAATGGGTATGGCTGTATAAGGTACTGTAATGACAATGGGTTATGGGTATAAGGCTGTATAAGGTACTGTAATGACAATGGGTATGGCTGTATAAGGTACTGTAATGACAATGGGTATGGCTGTATAAGGTACTGTAATGACAATTGGTATGGCTGTATAAGGTACTGTAATGACAATGGGTATGGCTGTATAAGGTACTGTAATGACAATTGGTATGGCTGTATAAGGTACTGTAATGACAATGGGTATGACTGTATAAGGTACTGTAATGACAATCAGTATGGCTGTATAAGGTACTGTAATGACAATAGGTATGGCTGTGTAAGGTACTGTAATGACAGTCAGTATGGCTGTATAATGTACTGTAATGACAATGGGTTTGGCTGTATAAGGTACTGTAATGACAATGTATATGGCTGTATAAGGTACTGTAATGACAATCGGTGTGGGTGTATAAGGTACTGTAATGACAGTGGGTATGGCTGTATAAGTTACTGTAATGACAATGGGTATGGCTGTATTAGGTACTGTAATGACAATGGGTATGGCTGTATAAGGTACTGTAATGACAATCGGTATGGCTGTATAAGGTACTGTAATGACAATGGGTATGGCTGTATAAGGTACTGTAATGACAATGGGTATGGCTGTATAAGGTACTGTAATGACAATGGGTATGGCTGTATAAGGTACTGTAATGACAATGAGTATGGCTGTATAAGGTACTGTAATGACAATGGGTATGGCTGTATAAGGTACTGTAATGACAATGAGTATGGCTGTGTAAGGTAGTGTAATGACAATAGGTATGGCTGTACAAATGAATTCTGTATATATTTTCTTAGTTATGGATCTGTGAAACACACATGCAACACTCAGGTTCTGGAACAGGGCTGCAGTCCAAAAGTGGATGAACAACTTAAAATCAGCATTCCTGTGTGGATCAGAAACACGGGGAACAATCAAAATAATAACTTATAACCGAATACTACTTTAACTAGAAAGTACTTTCTCTGGGACCCACACAGTAGAAGAAAGTAGTTAGTTGTGAAGTATGAGGAGAAGAGAATTGTGGAGAGTTGAATAACATGAGGACATAGAATGAGCTGTAGGAGATGGCAGAAGATAGGAGGACTTGACATCAGCTGGTTGGAGAATAAAAGTCAGAATAATAAAAATGAAGAACTGCAAATTAACGAACAAACGAATGAATGAACAAACTTTATTTTCAAAGGGTTACAAATTGGGCACGCAGGCCCATCTGATATTCGGTCCTTTTAAGCACTCATTTTTCAGAGTACCAATGCCTGTTATCAATAATGCATGTTATGGATATCATAAAGAAATATGCATTATAGAATAATGCATACACACATCATGTGTACACAATCTTACCCACTCACACACACGTATATATACTCTCATACATACACATTTATATACAGACATACCTAATACATACATATACACATCTACATACATACACAGTCAGAAAAGACACACACATATTGACATACATGCACACACACATTAGCCAGTGTGTCACCAGGGCCCTCATGAGAAGCAAAGAATAGTGACACTGCACCCTACCAGTCATGTCCTAAAAGGCGACTAAGGGTAGGAGGGTTGGGCTTGAGGTTAACTACCTCATCCTGAAAAAACCATAGCCACAAAATTCAACCAACCATGGATAAGTCAAAAAGAGAAGGATTTTTTTTTTAACGTATCCAGAAACCATGAGTTGTAAACCCTTTGGCTCGGTACTATGGATATCGCAACCCTTCGGCATTGATTCCATTATAGGTACCGTTAATCTGGGAGAAATGTGGCTTCTCTGCCTACCCCCGGGAGTGAACCCGGACCACAAGGAGTTCGTCAACCGGCCGCCGCGAAAGTCAGGTTTAACCAACTTGGCTAGAGAGCCGGGCTAAAAGAGAAGGATAGAACCACTTGGCGTGAGTTGGTTGAGGGCCTATGCTCTACTGGGGGATAGAAAGGCAGAAGAAGAAGACACACACATTCATTCCATACATACACACCTACACATGTATATACAGACACCCACACTGACCACTGTCTTGTGGACAAACACACTGACCACTGTCTTGTGGACAAGCACACTGACCACTGTCTTGTGGGCAGACACACTGACCACTGTCTTGTGGGCAAACACACTGACCACTGTATCGTGGGCAAGCACACTGACCACTGTCTTGTGGGCAGGCACACTGACCACTGTCTTGTGGGCAAGCACACTGACCACTGTCTTGTGGGCAAGAACACTGACCACTGTATTGTGGACAAGCACACTGACCAGTCTTGTGGGCAAGCACACTGACCACTGTCTTGTGGACAAGCAAACTGACCACTGTCTTGTGGACAAGAACACTGACCACTGTCTTGTGGGCAAGCACACTGACCAGTCTTGTGGGCCAGCACACTGACCACTGTCTTGTGGGCAAGCACAATAACCACTGTCTTGTGGGCAAGCACACTGACCACTGTCTTGTGGGCAAGCACACTGACCACTGTCTTGTGGGCAAGGACACTGACACTGTCTTGTGGGCAGACACACTAACCACTGTTTTGTGGGCAAGCACACTGACCACTGTCTTGTGGACCAGAACACTGACCACTGTCTTGTGGGCAAGCACACTGACCACTGTCTTGTGGGCAAGGACACTGACACTGTCTTGTGGGCAGACACACTAACCACTGTTTTGTGGACCAGAACACTGACCACTGTCTTGTGGGCAAGCACACTGACCACTGTATTGTGGACCAGAACACTGACCACTGTCTTGTGGGCAGACACACTAACCACTGTCTTGTGGGCAAGGACACTGACACTGTCTTGTGGGCAGACACACTAACCACTGTATTGTGGACCAGAACACTGACCACTGTCTTGTGGGCAGACACACTAACCACTGTCTTGTGGGCAAGACACTGACACTGTCTTGTGGGCAGACACACTAACCACTGTATTGTGGACCAGAACACTGACCACTGTCTTGTGGGCAAACACACTGATCACTGTCTTGTGGGCAAACACACTGACCACTGTCTTGTGGGCAAGCACACTGACCACTGTATCACTGAGGCAGAGAATTATAGACTGAGGTCAAAAAGATAAGGAGAACATGGGCTGAGCTGCATGCAATGGCCAAGTGTTTGATGATGTGACACTAGTTGGTTTAGGGCCAATGCTCCTTTGAGGGTTGAATGGCAGAAGGAAAACTATTCACGTGTCAAACAGGCAGTAGGAGCCTAGTGAGCATACAGTTTTCTTATGTTCAGAATTTGTGTCACTTACATTAACTGTTCTTAAACTAAGTTTTGGCTGTCCTCCGAATAACGGCCACATATTATGGCGGCCAAAAACAGTGCCTCAGTCACATGTAAGTTGCGGACTTCCGGCGACTTAATTTGCGCACTTCTGGCGACTACTGCCACCGCCGAGAGTATCTCCCACGCCGCTACACGCAGCATGGATTCGGGCTAAACTAGATCGCAGGGATTCATGAGCAAAGCTGCAGGAGATGCGGAAGCTGCTGCTCGTGAGTCCCAGCCATCTAGTTTAGCCCCAATCCACGCCGCGCCTAGCGGCATAGGAAATACTCGTGGCGGTAGTCGCCAGAAGTGCACAATTTAAGTTGCTGGGAGTCCGCAATTTACATGTGACTGATTCCCTGTTAGGGTGTTTTTGTAGCCGCCATAATATGTGGCCATTATTCGGAGGATTGCCTAAGTTTTAATGCCCTATCAACTTATACAATGCACTGTGCACCATTGTGTGAGAACCTGTTTCAGAAGCAATGTTTACATGTTCAGCGTGAATATGAGATGCTTTAAATGTCCTTAGTTTCAGATTTATTTTGTTACTCCTTGGTAATCACGGTAAAGACTTCAGGTCAGCCGCTTGGATCAAATCAATCATTTTGAATGATCCAATCTACTCTGCCTCAGTTCGATATTCAAATGTATTTTTCAGTAATCTGTTAGTTTTTACATTTCTCAGGTTATCCAGCAAAGAGAACTACTTTTTGACAGAAGGCTTGTTTTGTCCAGCTCAAGACCTTGCTGATGCAAGCAGTGTCAAACTGACAGTTATAGAACTCTTGCCTGACAAGTGGGCCAACCTCAACCCACAGTTAGTAGATATTTTTTAAATTTGTAATGTTTCATGTAAATAATAAATATTATTAAGACAATGTATGAAGGTTCAGAGTGCGCAGTGCAGACAGACATGGTTTAAGTCAGTGGTCGGCAAACTCTTTAGTCCGAAGAGCTAAATTTTTTTTCAACGACTTGTCAAGAACCATGTTTTTTGGAGTCAAAACCAATTTGTGTCCAACTGACCGAGTCATGATCGGATCGCTAAAGAGCTGCATGCGGCTCACGCACCGCGAATGGCTGACCACTGGTTTCATTGGTTTGAAGTTCAAACTGAAGCAAAACAGGGATGCGTTTTATCTGTTATGTGGCATAACCATTGACTGGGTGATGGGAAATTATGTTGTGTTAGAAACACCGGGTGGGCAAGCACACTGACCACTGTATTGTGGGCAAAAACACTGACCACTGTATTGTGGGCAAGAACACTGACCACTGTATTGTGGGCAAGCGCACTGACCACTGTATTGTGGACAAGCACACTGTATTGTGGCAAGAACACTGACCACTGTATAGTGGGCAAGAACACTGACCACTGTATTGTGGACAAGCACACTGACCACTGTATTGTGGGCAAGAACACTGACCACTGTATTGTGGGCAAGAACACTGACCACTGTATTGTGGACAAGCACACTGACCACTGTATTGTGGGCAAGAACACTGACCACTGTATTGTGGGCAAGAACACTGACCACTGTATTGTGGGCAAGAACACTGACCACTGTATTGTGGGCAAGCACACTGACCACTGTATTGTGGCAAGAACACTGACCACTGTATTGTGGGCAAGCACACTGACCACTGTATTGTGGCAAGAACACTGACCACTGTATTGTGGCAAGAACACTGACCACTGTATTGTGGCAAGAACACTGACCACTGTATTGTGGGCAAGAACACTGACCACTGTATTGTGGGCCAGCACACTGACAACTGTATTGTGGCAAGAACACTGACCACTGTATTGTGGGCAAGAACACTGACCACTGTATTGTGGCAAGAACACTGACCACTGTATTGTGGCAAGAACACTGACCACTGTATTGTGGCAAGAACACTGACCACTGTATTGTGGGCAAGAACACTGACCACTGTATTGTGGCAAGAACACTGACCACTGTATTGTGGCAAGAACACTGACCACTGTATTGTGGGCAAGAACACTGACCACTGTATTGTGGACAAGTACACTGACCACTGTATTGTGGGCAAGAACACTGACCACTATTGTGGGCAAGCACACTGACCACTGTATTGTGGGCAAGCACACTGACCACAGTCTTGTGGGCAAGCACACTGACCAGTGTCTTGTGGACAAGCACACTGACCACTGTCTTGTGGACAAGCACACTGAAACTGTCTTGTGGGCAAGAACACTGACCACTGTCTTGTGGACAAGCACACTGAAACTGTCTTGTGGGCAAGCACACTGACCACTGTATTGTGGACAAGCACACTAAAACTGTCTTGTGGGCAAGCACACTGACCAATGTATTGTGGACAAGCACACTGACCACTGTCTTGTGGACAAGCACACTGACCACTGTATTGTGAACAAGCACACTGACCACTGTCTTGTGGACAAGCACACTGACCACTGTGATGTCGACAAGCACACTGACCACTGTCTTGTGGACAAGCACACTAGCCACTGTATTACTGAACTGGGTGGAGGACAAACAGTTGGAAAATCTTGATTTTGTTGACGATATTGTTCTGCTAAGTGAAAACTACAATCCATGTCAAAGAAACAGATGATTTAGCAAATTTTAAGTGTTGAACTACTAAGAAGTTACAAAAAGACAAAACAGTCAATTTTATCACAAGAACCTGTCTGTCGGTGTAAATCAGAAAGCGAACACAGGAAGAAGAAAAAGATAGGCACCTGCAATGAAAATTCTAAAGCAAGATCTGAAAGTCAAACACATGAATGACTTCTGTGCATGACATGCCAGATAACCACTGAAGGGCTTCACTGAGAGCTTCTTGTGTATTCATTCTACATGCCCCAATGTGCCCTGTGGTGATCTGTTCTTATGTAATCATTCTACATGCCCCAATGTGCTCTGTGGTGATCTGTTCTTATGTAATCATTCTACATGCCCCAATGTGGCCTGCGGTGATCTGTTCTTATGTAGTCATTCTACATGCCCTAATGTGCCCTGTGGTGATCTGTTCTTATGTAGTCATTCTACATGCCCCAATGTGCTCTGTGGTGATCTGTTCTTATGTAATCATTCTACATGCCCCAATGTGCTCTGTGGTGATCTGTTCTTATGTAATCATTCTACATGTCCCAATGTGCCCTGTGGTGATCTGTTCCTATGTAATCATTCTACATGCCCCAATGTGCTCTGTGGTGATCTGTTCTTATGTAATCATTCTACATGCCCCAATGTGCCCTGTGGTGATCTGTTCTTATGTAATCATTCTACATGTCCCAATGTGCCCTGTGGTGATCTGTTCTTATGTAGTCATTCTACATGCCCCAATGTGCCCTGTGGTGATCTGTTCTTATGTAATCATTCTACATGCCCCAATGTGCCCTGTGGTGATCTGTTCTTATGTACTCATTCTACATGCCCCAATGTGCCCTGTGGTGATCTGTTCTTATGTAATCATTCTACATGATTCATGATTTTTGAGTGTCTCAGATACAATCAGACACCTGATTTGTGTGTGTCTCAGATACAATCAAACACCTGATTTGTGTGTGTCTCAGATACAATCAGACACCTGATTTGTGTGTGTCTCAGATACAATCAGACACCTGATTTGTGTGTGTCTCAGATACAATCAGACACCTGATTTGTGTGTGTCTCAGATACAATCAGACACCTGATTTGTGTGTGTCTCAGATACAATCAGACACCTGATTTGTGTGTGTCTCAGATACAATCAGACACCTGATTTGTGTGTGTCTCAGATACAATCAGACACCTGATTTGTGTGTGTCTCAGATACAATCAGACACCTGATTTGTGTGTGTCTCAGATGCAATCAGACACCTGATTTGTGTGTGTCTCAGATACAATCAGACACCTGATTTGTGTGTGTCTCAGATGCAATTAGACACCTGATTTGTGTGTATCTCAGATACAATCAGACACCTGATTTGTGTGTGTCTCAGATACAGTCAGACACCTGATTATCATGTGTTGTATAGCTGGAGACTTGATTGTTGTGTGTTTTATAAACAGTCAGAAACTCTACTCTCATGTATGTTTTTCAGGAGTTTCAATTTTGCTTTGATTCTTTATATGTTTACTGACTGTGTTTGATTCTCTTACTGATATTTTCATTTGATAGAAACAACTCAACTGATATTCGTGCAGCTGAAAACAATCCAGAAAGCAGTGAAGAATCTGTGGAGACCGTGACCAAAAAGCAAAGCGGTATTGTAGAATTGCAAGACCTTGTCGGCAACAAACCATATATCTTGGATGTTGATCTGGACTTCTTTTCAACTGCAAATCCTTTCAAAAATATGTTGAGACATGATGAGGAGGAGGCTTTGAGGAGACTCTATCACTATCCTCCAGTCACAGATTTCTCCGATGAGGTCAGTCGGTCTGTCTGCAGTTGCATGTTTTTATATTAACACTTTGAAATATCTGTATTTAGTGTAAACATGTGAAAAGCAAATTAGACATGGTAGCGAGGATATGAGAAAAACTGAATGCTTGACAGATCTGAACATCAAAGAAGATTGGCTAATAAACAGCATCCTGTCTCGGAAGCTGAAATATTTTGGTCATATCAAGCGCCTTGACGGATTGGTAAAAAAATTATAGCAGAAGGCATGGTACCAGGAAGGAGGGGCAAGGGCCGACCGACACAAAGATGGTCACAGGATATAAGTGACTCCTTGAGTATGAAAGTATATGAGGCGGGAGAACTGATGAGCGAGGAATGCACAAATATAGTAGTGATCAGAACATGGATTTTCTTGCGTTCAGGCAAGTGGCCCAGTTGAGGCCAGATATCAGAGAAACAAATGTACAAGTAAAAGGACGGGCCTGTTAACCATAATATTCATGCAGGCATGCAACCACACTGATATTTAAATAATTACAAATGCAATGATTCTTCACATGAAAACCTTAAATTTGCAGTATACAAATTCAGTCTGCCATTGTCTTGCAGACGGCTCTGTGGCTGAGTCGATGCGAACACTTTGTAATGCCGGGATGCCGGGTTCGATCCCAGCTGCAGGCCATGTGCCTTGTGTTGGTTTCGACGGTTGTATCCAGAAAGCCGACGTCCAGAAAGCAATGGCAAACTCCTGGACGTAAATTTGCCAAGAAAAACCACTCAACATCAGGGACTGTTGGGGTTGGTTCTGCAACGTCCTGTAAAGGACTAACCTATTGTCTTGCAAGCTGGCAGGATTATTGCTAAGAATACCAAGAATCCTGCAGCTACCATCACAAAGAATACAAACCACAAGATCTCACAGTAGGAATATAAATCTGGCTATCTCACTAGTGGTCCATGCCAGCTAGGAGACTCTTCAGCAACGAGGGTAGTAAAACAGGAAATCATTGCCGAACAAAGGTCCAGTCTGGTGATCCATACCAACATCCCAGCAAGTGAACAAGGGAAGTGACAAGTTCAGGTACACAGAAGTTCAAGTACAATGAGAAGTTCAAGTACAATGAGAAGTTCAAGTACACAGAAGTTCAAGTACAATGAGAAGTTCAAGTACACTGAGAAGTTCAAGTACACTGAGAAGTTCAAGTACACAGAAGTTCAAGTACACTGAGAAGTTCAAGTACACTGAGAAGTTCAAGTACACTGAGAAGTTCAAGTACACAGAAGTTCAAGTACACTGAGAAGTTCAAGTACACTGAGAAGTTCAAGTACACTGAGAAGTTCAAGTACACTGAGAAGTTCAAGTACACTGAGAAGTTCAAGTACACTGAGAAGTTCAAGTACACTGAGAAGTTCAAGTACACTGAAGTTCAAGTACACTGAGAAGTTCAAGTACACTGAGAAGTTCAAGTACACAGAAGTTCAAGTACACAGAAGTTCAAGTACACTGAGAAGTTCAAGTACACTGAGAAGTTCAAGTACACTGAGAAGTTCAAGTACACTGAGAGGTTCATGTACACTGAGAGGTTCAAGTACACTGAGAAGTTCAAGTACACTGAGAAGTTCAAGTACACAGAAGTTCAAGTACACTGAGAAGTTCAAGTACACTGAAGTTCAAGTACACTGATAAGTTCAAGTACACTGAGAAGTTCAAGTACACAGAAGTTCAAGTACACTGAGAAGTTCAAGTACACTGAGAAGTTCAAGTACACTGAGAAGTTCAAGTACACTGAGAAGTTCAAGTACACTGAGAAGTTCAAGTACACTGAGAAGTTCAAGTACACAGAAGTTCAAGTACACTGAGAAGTTCAAGTACACTGAGAAGTTCAAGTACACTGAGAAGTTCAAGTACACTGAGAAGTTCAAGTACACTGAGAAGTTCAAGTACACTGAGAAGTTCAAGTACACAGAAGTTCAAGTACACTGAGAAGTTCAAGTACACTGAGAAGTTCAAGTACACAGAAGTTCAAGTACACAGAAGTTCAAGTACAATGAGAAGTTCAAATACAATGAGAAGTTCAAGTACACTGAGAAGTTCAAGTACAATGAGAAGTTCAAGTACACAGAAGTTCAAGTACAATGAGAAGTTCAAGTACACTGAAGTTCAAGTACAATGAGAAGTTCAAGTACACTGAGAAGTTCAAGTACACAGAAGTTCAAGTACACTGAGAAGTTCAAGTACACAGAAGTACAAGTACACTGAGAGGTTCATGTACACTGAGAAGTTCAAGTACACTGAGAAGTTCAAGTACACTGAGAAGTTCAAGTACAATGAGAAGTTCAAGTACACTGAGAAGTTCAAGTACACAGAAGTTCAAGTACACTGAGAAGTTCAAGTACACTGAGAAGTTCAAGTACACTGAGAAGTTCAAGTACACTGAGAAGTTCAAGTACACAGAAGTTCAAGTACACTGAGAAGTTCAAGTACACTGAGAAGTTCAAGTACACTGAGAAGTTCAAGTACACTGAGAAGTTCAAGTACACAGAAGTTCAAGTACACTGAGAAGTTCAAGTACACTGAGAAGTTCAAGTACACAGAAGTTCAAGTACACTGAGAAGTTCAAGTACACAGAAGTACAAGTACACTGAGAGGTTCATGTACACTGAGAAGTTCAAGTACACTGAGAAGTTCAAGTACACAGAAGTACAAGTACACTGAGAAGTTCAAGTACACAGAAGTACAAGTACACTGAGAAGTTCAAGTACACTGAGAAGTTCAAGTACACAGAAGTTCAAGTACACTGAGAAGTTCAAGTACACTGAGAAGTTCAAGTACACTGAGAAGTTCAAGTACACTGAGAAGTTCAGTGCACTGAGAACAAGTACACAGAAGTTCAAATACACTAAGAAGTGATGTCAGAGACAGTTGCAACAGTTTAATGCACCATAGTGGAAAACTGTGAAGTGACTGTAGGGAAAAAGCTTGACTTCTGAATTTCATTCAGTCTTCAGCACAGTACACCATCTAAGATGTGTTCCTTTTGTAAATAATGCCTGAAAGATGGGTGCCATTGCAGTGTACCCCAGAACTGAATCAGTGATGATTTTCCAGTAAACATTTTTTTACATTTTGAATGCCTTTCACTTACGCTGCACCATTAACTCTCTAAGTCCCAAAAAGCACATCATACGTTCATAGTTTCCTACCTAGAGGCCCAAAAAACACATCATACGTTCATAGTTTCCTACCTAGAGGCCCAAAAAACACATCATACGTTCATAGTTTCCTACCTAGAGGCCCAATGAACGCATCATACGTTCATAGTTTCCTACCTAGAGGCCCAAAAAACACATCATACGTTCATAGTTTCCTACCTAGAGGCCCAAAAAACACATCATACGTTCATAGTTTCCTACCTAGAGGCCCAAAAAACACATCATACGTTCATAGTTTCCTACCTAGAGGCCCAATGAACGCATCATACGTTTATAGTTTCCAACCTAGAGGCCCAATGAACGCATCATACGTTCATAGTTTCCTACCTAGAGGCCCTATGAACGCTTGATGCGCCGATTTAACGTCTCTCTTGACTACCCCTTGGGCCTCTGATGATAAACTTCCTGGGGCTCAAAGAGTACAATCTGGCCCCAAGTCACTACTATATTTTGGACCAGTAAAAGAAGAGATGAAAGGTAAACATTTCAAGATAGATGTGACAAGGTGTGTGTGAATTAGGGGCTACACAAGCTACCAGAAATGCCTGGAGAGTTGTGTTGAATGTATTGACATCAAATTATGTCTATCTTTTTTAATAAATTTAGAAAACAACATGCAGACAGCGTCAGAAAATTAAAAGTAAATTTTTTTTAAAACATACAAATCTTATGGACTCATCAGTGGCAGTGTGAACGCAATATACAGTTGTATGTCATTTTTCTCTGAGTAATCAGAATACGTCGGCTCTGTGGCTAAGTGGATGTGAACGCTTCGTAATGCCGGGTTCGATCCCAGCTGCGGGCCATGCGCCTTGCTTTGGTTTCGATAGTGGTATCAAGAAAGCCGACCGCCCAGAAAGCAATGGCAAACTACTGGACATAAATTTGCCTAGAAAAACCACACAGCAGCCAGTAGCTGTTGGGGTTGGTTCTGCAACATCCTGTAAAGGATACGCAACAACCAAATCAGAAGACACTATGCTGACGTCAACAAATTCTAGTTATGTAACGTTTTTTCTTCAATCTAGAAAAAGCGTTTCATGTATTTCTTCAGAACACTCTCAAGTCATACTGC